GGCGGGAGAGCCGGCCCGCGCTGCCTGGGACGAACGCAGCCCGGCACTGGCTCTGCCCGTCCTCCTCGGCGGTGTGGAGCAGGTCGGCGGTCACCCCGAAAAGCTGGCGGGGCACGGTGCGTGTTATGCACGAATCGGTTCCGTAAATCGTGTAACACGAGCCATTTTCATACACGCTCTCTTCTCGCTGGAGGAAGCTGGCGCTCCAAGAAACCTGATGTCTTTTCGTAGTCCCCGTGAAACCTCCACCCCTAACATGAGAGGATGCTGTGCTAGGCATTCATTGGATTCACTCATTTGATTTCCCTATTTTTGCTGAAAGTATTTAAACCGCTCTGGAAACGGCAGTGCCGTCTCCACGTGGGTTACGAATAGCGGGGCTGAAGAACGCGGTGCTTCTCTGTGACAAAACGCGGCCACCTTCGCCTGGGCTTTCCGGCGCGCGTGAGCGCCCGCAGCCTCGGGAAAGCGTTTTCCGCACAGAAATTACGTTGGCTTAAAAGGCGCAAAAGTACGTGCATTGACTTGTTCACAGATGTATAAGCACGGATATGTGTTCTCTTGTATCCAGGTCATAACTGTTTGTCAGCGACAATACTAATTCACGGTAATGCTTTCTGTTGCTTTCATTATACGCTGCCGAAGCGCTGGTCGAAAAGGTAATCGAAAGGCTCCTAACGTATCAGCCCATGTCATAGGTAATCGAGATAGACCGGTTCACTAATAGTCACAAACAGTGAGTCGACGCGGACGCTTGCATGGAATTACACCGATTTGTTCTAATCTGGTTATTTCTACTGATTCCGGCATTTATTTTGAAAACTGATAGCGTGAATGATTTTCGCAGTAATCGGACAAAAGCACAGCGAGGAGACCGCGGTACACAGATGCCGTAAGTAAAACTGCTGCGCCCAGCACCAGGAACTTTCCGGCAATAATGAAGGTGCTAAAGGTGATGTGTCAGTCGTGTGCTTCAACTTCCTCTTGTGTTACTACTAAAGCATCATTTAAAAGGTTGGAGAGTTTTTTTCGTGGTGATATTTGCTTGCTTCGTTAGATTTTGGGAAGTCGGGTTAACGATATGTTCCATACGGGCTCACAGATACGAAGTGACTAATTTGTGAATACTTCTGGGGGATTGCAGAAAAGCACCTGCTCCTCCCAGCCAGCGTGCTCCTGGGCGTGAGGAGGGCTGAAGGCTGAGCACAGCTCCTGCTTTGTCCAACTTCAGCCGCTTTCTCAATGTCTCTGTCGTTTCTGGATGGGAAATGGTGTTAAACCTCGCTTCGATCACTGCAAAGCCATACCTCGGGAAGCAAGCAGCCTGCAAAAGTATGGCCCTGCCGTGATCGAAAGGAAATTGCTGGAGGTCCGAGATGTCCAATAGCGAAGCCCAGAAGCACCTCAGAAATACCCAGCCCAAGCTCCCAGAACCGAAGATCTGAGCCGGATTTTCTGGCTGCATCAGGAATCCGAGGCTGGACCTGGAAAACTTGTGTTTTCCAGGATGGGGGGGGGGGAATAAAACAAGACTCCCCTTTTTC